GTGATGGTGAGGATTCGTCCCGAACAGTTCCCACCGGGAACAGTTAAGAAGTTGCATGCCAAGAGTGCGGGACCTTTCAAAATACTTGAGAAAATTAATGATAATGCCTATGTAGTAGATATGCCTGCAGATTTTAATATAAATCTCTCTTTTAACCAATGTTTAAAATTGCGTAATAGGGTATTAAGACGTTTTTCATTCGTGAGGCGAGGCGTAAGCCTCAAGGCGTTTTGAGGCGTAGGCCTCAAAATCAAAAGATTGCGTAAACATAAAATGATAAATTTGTTATATACTAATGAGTGAATAATATAAAACATAAAAAAGTATAAGATATGAAGTGAAATCAAAATATCTCAATAATAAGACAACATGAAATATAGTTCAACTCAAAATTCTATCTTTCTGAAATCCCAGTATTCTTTTCATTAACATATAATTCTGATTTCCAAAAATAAATAGCAATGACATATCACATATGAACTCATAAGTCATCAGCACTGTCATCACTAAGGGGTTCTTCATTTGAATCATCATTATGGTGAACTGCTCTCTCCCCTTCCTCATCTCCTATAGAGTCCAATGTCGGGCATTTACTTCAAGATTTATGTAAGTTTTAATATATATAGCATGAGGCGTAAGCCTCATGCCAGTGAGGCGAGGCGGGCCTCAACCAAGTTGAGGCGCAAGCCTCATAAAAAAAACTCGAGGCGTAAGCATCGAGGCATTTTTTATTAGAATTGTGCAAAGGCAGGCCTCAAGGAGAGCCTCATATTGCGCAATTTTAAACCATGCTTTTAACATAGAAGACTTAGTGACATATGAAGGTTCTGATTTTAACCCACCCAATCCACTGATAAAATACCTTGTGTGAACCCACCCTGTGAGATCCCAAACCTTCCTCCACTATCAGATATTCCTAAATTAACCATGGCAAAGCAGGTGGAGGCAATCATGAGTGATGAGATCATATCCACAAGAGAAGGTGGACGAAGGAGATATTTGATCAGGTGGAAAGGAAAGCCCGAGTCAGAGGATATGTGGCTAGATCGCGAGGAGTTGCAGCGGATTGACCCAGATGCACTAGGATCTACGAGAGCACTAGAGATACTTACTCGACGGAGTCGAGTTTTCTCCCACCTCGGGAGAATGATGGGGACATCAGCTCGTGAAAGGTTTATCAAAGGCGTGGCCGCCGATCTACGACCACGATCGAGTCCTTATATTTCTGAGTATTTATGTTATTCATGTATTTTTCTATTCGCATGTGTCATGTATTTATTTTTATTATTTTTTCCAATTGTACCCTTTTAGTGGGGAATGTCGTATGTAAGCCCAAAGAGCAAGATTGTCTTTTCTTTTCTTGAGTTCGTGTACTTGGCTATTTATAGCCTCATGCCTTGTGTTTTGAAGTTAATGAATGATTATGAAAATTTTTTTGCACTTGTTCTTGAAGCTTAAGAGAGAGCTTAAGAGAGAGAGTTACAGAGCTTGGTGGAGCCTAGGATAGGCTACCCGTCATACCCAATAGTCACAACTGGTGGCTCTTGGTTCTCCTTCCCTTTCCCTCCACCACCGGCCAACCTCCCTTCTCACCCAAATTCCCCCCTTCTTCCCTTCCCAATCCCACGGCAACCCTTACCCGAGCCCATGCCGCCGACCATATCCTCCTAGCCGTCGGCCTCCCTTGGGTTTCCCCTCCCTCCCCTTCTTTCCTTTATTTCCTATTATGGATTGAATATAACTGGGATGAATTTTGAACTAAAATCCAAATGATTTGAAATTCAAAATATTTCCTAATATACAAAATCTATTTTAGGAAAGTCTTAAAAAAATCATTCAAATCAATTTACAATTGATTGGATTTTTATTTGTCTTCCCTAATCTATGAATCCCAAGTTAGCAAGCCAAAATTAATTGCACAAATCCCTTTTCCCCCATCAAAGCCGTCAGCCCCCTTTTAAGTTTGGGATAGGAAATATTTCCTAAACCCAAACTCCTCCTTTGGAATAAATTCAAATCCCAAATCTCTTTTAGCCGAAATTTCCAAAGGTCCACAATTACTTAATTCTTTCCAAAACCAAATCTTGCAACTTGGAAACAAACTAAAATCCCACCTCCTCTACAAGCCGCCGGCCCTTTGCTCTTTCCCGTCCCTCTCTTCCCCAATCTCCTCTCTCTTTCTCTCATTAGCTCCCACACCTTTACTAAATCTGAAATTAATTTCATAATTTTGTTTTGGTTCTCCTCCCTTTTACTTGCACAAGAAAACTACTTTCTCTTGCCAATCTTCAAAGAACCATAACAAGGTGGAAGGAGATCGGTACTCGGCACCCATGAATGGCGGATCCAGCTACTGAATATTGTTTGACTTGAGATGAGGACGGTTTCACCGATATTCTACGATCAACCTTCTTCGACGTGAATCCTAGGATCGATCATACCGTCGAGGACTATTTGGAGCGCATTCTGGACACCTAGTGGAAGCCATTGACGAGCACTTCGAAGGCATCGAGTGGAGGATCTCCACCACTCCTTGACAAGAGGTTCTTTTTTCTCCTTTTCATTACATTTCTTTAGTGTAACCTGATCTTGTGTTTGATTGTAGTCACAAAGGACAACTCGCTCTGCTAATGTTAAGCTTAGTAAACGTAGGGTTTGAGCGCGCCCTTATGCTTGCTAATTTTCATTGTTAGATTAGGGATTGTATTGAATCTTCTACTACAGCATTAAGTAATTTACTAATTGTTTTGAAAATTTTTCCAACTCTCTGATTATGTAATTTAGCCTAAGCGGGTGTGACCCCTTATTCGTTTTATTTCATTGTTTTGAACTGCTGCTAGTTTTCTTTATCTTATTCCAATCACGAGTTGTGCAACTTCCTAATGAATTGATCGCATTCATATGTAGTTCTGCATAGGGCTGCAAACAAACCGAGCCGAGCCGAGTATGTGAGTGTTCATGTTTGTGTTCATTTAATATCAGTTTGTTCATGTTTGTTCGAGCTTTAGCATTTGTGTTCATGTTTGGTTCATTTAAATTAAGGAGTGTTCATGTTCGGTTCATGTTCAGTTCATGTTCGTTCGTTTAGTGTTTATCAAGCTTGTTCGCGAACATATTTAACGATTTTTTTTAACTATCAAACAAACACGTTCATGAACATATCTATGAACAAACACATTTATAATAAAATCAATTGTCTATGTAAAAAAGGTAATGATTATTTATATTTATTAATTATATAGTCAAATATTAATTATTTTTATCGAGCTTATTCACGAGTTCAAAATCGAACAGGAATCGAGCTTTTGTCGAGCTTCTTATCGAGCTTAATGTCGAGCTTGTTCACGAACTTCAAATGATGTTGTTCGCGAACATAAATGAGCCGAACGCATTAGTGTTCAAGTTTGTTTATTTAAGAATCGAGTATTTAAGATATTGTTCAAATTTGTTTGTTTAGTTAATTAAACGATCGCAAACAAGCTTTAATCGAACCGAACAACGAGTAGCTCGTCGAACGTTTGGTTCGCTTGCAGCCCTAGTTCTGCATCAAAGCCACTGGAAAGACAACATCTCGATTACCATATGCAAGCTGGAAAAGGCAGTCAACTTCATAGATATTAGAGAAAAAAATCATGTTAAACAAACAAGTATTAATTCATACATGTTAGTATCATCCTTCACAACTATGTATTGAAAACATAACATCAGTTGCTTTCCTCCACTACCTAACATTGGTTCCTACGTAAATTGGCCTGTAAGATGACATGACTATAAAGTAGCCTCCTTATCCCAACAACTTCAATGCAGCGAAATGAACTAATCAATAACCTACTAAAGCTATTCAAGATGAATTAACACAAGCTTCTCGAAACTTTTTGCTCACAAGTGAAAATGGGGCAGCTAAAAGCAAGCCCATCACTCCTCAAATGATCTTCCAGAAAAAAGTGCATTTTGAAAACAAATTTCTTGCAGTTAACCATTCCTTTGTAAATTGTGTATTTAAGAAAATAGAACATCACCTTCTCACCATTTTCCCTTCCCAAAGAAAAAAAACTTGCTACAGTTACAGCAACCCATAGAATATTTGAAGTTGAGAGCAACATTTCATCTTCTAAGCTACTTTGGAAAATATCTTCGTCTCATTTGCAGTCTCCAAACAGCACCAAAATCAGTAATTCAAATTCACGCAACTGTGTGTATAAATAGCACATGTATCAATGCTACATCATATTAGTTACAATTCTGCAAACTTATGATATATATGGGACAAATTTTTTTCATCTTTGATTTTCAAATCACTACCACATTAGCGCCTAGCTGACAGCTTTTCTAGCGGATATCAAAAAAATTTGTTGCCAAGAATAACTTTTCATGACCGAGCGCATCATTTTACATTCTAGCAATACATCTACACGATCTAATATTTCTCAATTTATGATTTTATAATTTTATTGTCTATATTTTACAGAAGTTATATAATAATTTCAAATAACAACTCTTCCTACAATATATTCACAACTTTAAAGATAGTTAAAACCATCCCAAACAGATCATCAACTATAACTTTATAATTACTTTAAGATTCCATCATGGCATTGTTTAACATTCTTATTATTCTTAGATAGAAATAAGAATCAAAATGATCCCCTAACTCTTTACAAAGGATCAAAATAGTTCCCCTATTTAAAAGTTTTATTTTAATCCATTGACTTTATAAATGGTAACCTAAATGATGATCCCCCAGAAGGACTAATTTGATCCCTATTTAAAGAGTCAAAGGATCAAATTGGTACTTTTATATAGTCGGAGACTATTTTGACCCTTCAAAAAAAGCTAGGGAACAAATTCAGTCTTTTCCCCTTCCTAGATATCAAAATTGAGCTTGATCAGCCTCAGAAAGAATGGTTATGCATAATGCATCCATCTGAATAAAGAACAGCAAAGTAAATATAGTCATGTGTGAATTCATAACTTTGCAAGCATATGAAATAGATAACCACCAGCTGAATGAGTGAATCAAAGAGGAGAAAACAGCATCCGTCCCTCCCAGTAATGGGGCCATATCAAACTTTGGATTCTTCACAAAACATCTGTCAATTGACTTTGTCAATATAACCAATATCTGCATAGAAATAATGTTAAAACAATAGAATGGGATCAAAAGATGATGAATTAATCCCACTAAGTTCAAAAGATACGCTACAGAAATGTTAAAACAACGAAAGAATTAAGAATAACATATATGAGACGTAGAAAGAACAGACATTGCGAGTTACACTATCTACTTATGTAAAGTATAATCTCGGAGTCGTACAAGAATTACCTGGCCATATAGAAGCTCTAGTTGTCCCCTTAATGCCTCATATGGCTCTTCAGTGCAGCTAATACAGACCAAATATATAGGGCCTTTCACAAGAAATACTACCTGGGCATTCAATATTCTCTTCAAAATAATACCAGCAGTACAATAGATAATTCAAATAATACATCATCAAGGTAATAGATCGAATGAAAATTTTCAGATTAACACAAATGACACTAATAATGGCAAGATTAGCACCTCTACTGCCCATCTAGCTAATGTAGTATTTTCAGTTAGCAAAAATATAAATGTTTAATGCTTTTCATGTCAAATTCAACCCATAATTCCAATCAAATCAGAAGAACAGAAGGAAAATAACCCTATAGATTGATGCAAAATGTATGCTAAATAGAATGCATGAAAAATTTTACATTTATGAATTGAATTTCTTGTAATTGCTACATTATTTAAACTCACACGCATAGTTTTATTTAAAGTCACACACATTATTCAACCCCTTCAGAAATCCAATATAAGTAAATGAAAGTAATTGGCCACATAGTTTTATTTAAACTATATGGTAATTGCTGCCGAAAAAGCCCCTTAATGTATTTGTTGACTTGTTCCATACGGCTCTATTTTTTCTAAGGTTAAGTATAAAATGACTACAAAATTATAGGGTAAACATATATGCGCATATTACAAGTCAATAAGTCAATAAACATGTTAAGGGGCTCTTTGGGCGGCAATTATCATGTAGTTTTTACGTGATAATTGCCGCCCAAAGAGCCCCTTAACGTGTTTGTTGACTTGTTCTATGCGCCTTATGATTTTTTAAGGTTCCATATGGAATGATTACATATTACAGAAGGAGAAAGAGACAAATAAAAGTTTTTCCCATTAATGTCCGCATTCACTCCAATGCAACTATGAAGTACTATCCATTACCTTCACGCATCAATGCATGATGTCTCCATAGTCTAGCCATACTTCATTGGCTTAGAAGGAAATAAAACGGTAATTAAGCAAATCAGAAAGAAACAGCCCCATACATCACCATACTGGGAAAATTTATTACAGCAAGATATTGATAAAGAATGAAATAGAAATTATCCTTCTTCAACCAACAGAAGAGTTGATGCGGAAAACTTTGATCATTTTACAAAAGCACAACGGTGAACTAATGTGATGGCTACAAGCCTACAATCCTGATGCTCAACTATTGCCACCAGGATGGCCACGGAAAACGGTGATGTAGAATGAAGTTTCAGAATTGAAAGCATGGAAATTTTGACTTCTGATAACAGGCAGCTGAATAATATGAACTCCCAGCAAAGTTTATCAGTCATGAAAAATCTCCGATCCCTCATTACACTAGAATAAAACAAATACCTTTAGAACCAAAAAAAAACTCACCTGATGTCTTCCAGCCCTTACGAATTTGATGCGATCATCACTGTACATTGGATTAAAAACATGAAGTAAGTTTGCATACATGGATTTGATAATAACATACTGATGTACACCCAAAAGAAGGTCAGCAGCATCAAAGGGATAAGATAAGACTTGTTGGTTGGATACATAACAGGCGGGTTTACCCATTCTCAACAAATGATATGATGGCTTGCAAGGTTGCTGAGAATCCTGCTAGCTTATGTTCATCGCCATACCTGAATAAACACCAAACAACCAATATGAGCAGCAACATTTGCACAAAACAACAGGAGTAACTATTTCAACATGTTCAATAGCGATCAATAAACTGCACCTAGAAAATATCGGCTTTCCAGAGTGACTCAATACAAAAAAATGTTTCTTTCGCTTTCTCCAAGAAGCAGATGTATCATCCTGCACATCACTTAATTAATTAATAAATTTCTCACATTAATTCAAAAAATTATAAAATTAATTTCCTAAGGGTTGTTTGGGAGATTTATGAATCAGAAAAGATCGGATCTCACCCTTATTACATTCTTATTATCATATTTATGCTTCATAGTAGCCTCATATTTATCATCTTTCAATCACAAGTAATTTAATAAATTGACGATATGATGTAAACACACTAGTTAGAAAAGCCAAAACAAAGAGAACAATGGGCAGAACTTAACCAGACTCGATTCAAATAGTAGCAATCATCTATGACATCCAAAATCCTACAAAAAAAAACAAGAAGAGAATTCAAAGAAACAAAGAAAATAAAAACAACGCTATCCTCAGACAACCGTCAGAGCGGGTTCCTCACATGCATCGAAATGTAGGTTAAATAAAATAAGTGCTTAGGGCTAGCAAACCGATGGTCCACCACTGCAAGATAGTCCAACTGATCAATCCAAACCCCTCCAGCAAAAGCTCCCAAATCAACCAGCAAACACCACCAAAGCTCAAGAAGAAGAAGTGGAACTTACGGAGAGACGAAAGAGGTTAGAAGCCAAGACGAAGGATGGAAAGAACTCGCAAGTCTTCCCTAGAGGAGAAAGAAGATGGAACAAGCTCGCAAGCTTTTCCAAGGAGAACCGGCAGGTTATAGCAAATTTGCTCTCAATATTCAACTCCTTTTCATTCTCAAAACATCTCATATTTATAGGCAAGAGAGGAGAAACCAAACAGCCATATTATTGAATTCCCACATGAATCCAAGCATCACAAATCACGGAAATCCCCCCAGCATTTCACGGGAAATAGCCCAGCCAGGGACCCGAAGAAGTAGCCACGGGAACCAAAGAGGCCCGCAGAGAACCGAGGCGCCAAAAGACACAAAAAGGCCACCCAGCATGGAAAACCAGCAGCCAACCGGGAAAACCAAGGAGCCATGGCATGGAAAACATCCAACACAGGAAACCCAAAAAACAGCCACGGAATCCCATGGGACAAAGACATATTTTAAAGAAGAAAAGGGGAGGAGAAGGGATAAGACCACTCCAATAATGAATCCAACTTATGAGCTTACCTTAGAGCATTAATGAGCTACTAAGCTTCAGGTCATCATTAATGAGCTAGCAACTAAGAAAATAATCTCAACTCCAATGAACCAACCTCCTCCTCACATCACCATAGGCCCCAAAACCGTGGACCATAAGCTAACCCGTGAACCAGCAGCAGCCAAGGACCAATCGAGCCAGCAAACCAAAGGTCTACCAAGCCCCAAGCACAACCTACCATGATCATTGGATGCTTTCCCATCATTGGATAGCTAAAAAAAAGAAAAGAACATAAAAATATACTAATGTTCAATATAAAATAAAAATACATAATATTTGATAGCATCAAGATATAATCATCATACTTTCAATGTGGCATCCAGTTTGCAGTCATCATATAGCATTTTCAGTTTATCATACATTGGTTTACAATTTTCCTATACCAAATTTGATATTAGAGTAAGTAAATTTTCTCAAAAACTTTTCATTGTGTCAAATTATATTTTCAGTATAAGATTATCTTGTTAGATTCATTATCATTCCTTTGTCAAAATCAAGTTAAAAACATCATATCACCATTCAATAAGTTATTTGCTCACTCACATAGTCGTGTTTTAAATTTATTTACATTGGCAAATCATTCAAGAAAAAGTATTACCATTTACCGAATTTTTTGTTTTTTTATTTCCTTTTCGTGATAGTCCTCTATATTTAGATATATTTATGTCATTTCTAATTTTATTTTTGCATGTTAAGTATGAATCGGTCCTATTGTATGATAGAAAAAATTCCCCTCAAACTTAAGGGAAAAAGTTCTATAAGATGGTGGTGAGACCTACAATGCTTTATAGCACAAAATGTTGGCAACAATCAAAAGAATAGCATTAGTGGATGAGTAGCTTCACTCTTAGAGAGAATGTGAAACGAGTATACAGATGAAAAGGTTGGAGTAGCTCTAGTGGTAAATAAGATTAGAGAGAGTTGCATTAGATGGTTTGGACACATAAAATGTCGGCCTTCTAATGACCTTGTAAGAAGAGTAGATGTATTAAATTTGGTCTATGTTAAGAAAGGTAGAGGTATACCTAAAAAGATTTGGTTAGAAAATATTAAAAACAACATTTTCTTATTAAATGTAAATGAGACTTTGACTCTTAACAAGACACAATAGAGAAAAAGAATTCATGTAGCCGACCCCACATTGTGGGATAAAGGCTTGCATTATCAAAAATGTGACCATAATCATGAAGATGACATCAAACATTTGCAAGAGCAAATTAAGTACCTCACCCTCCTACTCAAGCAAACCACTCAAGAGTTTAGAACTAGATCAAAAAACTTAGAAAAATCACTTAAGAATAAATCATGTTCCCAGCCCAACCCCACCCCTGGACACCCAACTGAGGAAGGTGAAGGTCACCTAATGTCCGGACCCGGCCCGAATACTCGAATTAACGAAGCATGAACAAAAAGGACGGACAGTTGTAACATTCCATTCAAATAAAAAAATTTACTACAACATCGCTATACAACTGAAGAGACACTATCACAAATTTTCTATCAATCTACTCATCAAATCCTTCATATATTTAACATTACATGTTTGCATTTGAGCGCCGCCTTCTATAGACGTATCTCTCTTCTTTTTCAGTCGTTTCTATATTTCTGGAGACTTACTTGAAATATGAATTTAATGGGTTGATTTTACAATGTAAACTTAGTGGATGATCTTTTTATATATAATACTTAAACATGTATTAAAATACAATTCATGATATCTTTCTCATTTCTCATTTATTATACAATATTAAACATATATAACTTTTGATATATGTTTATTCATATACATATATTTTGAAATCATTTTCCATTTCATTTACTCATTTCTTTATATCTTTCATATATATTTCAACATTTATTCTTTTTTCCAATTCATTTAGTACAGGAGCAGCGTTTAAATGTACAAAAGGTACAACCATTTTCATTTTCTTTTCCATTTTCATTTAACGTGCACGGGTACGTTGCTTCCCTAGTCATTACCAAACGGGGGTAAACTTCTGTAATTTGCATGCATATCATTTTCCCTTTTTTCATTTATTCTCATTCATACATTTATGCTCATTTATGTTTCTTATATGTATAGAAGTATCATATACCATCATTTTCACATACCTTCTATATCATCAATTCTATATACCTTCATATTGGTAAGATAGTCAATATATATTTTCAGTCACAATAATTTATATTTATCCAATTTACCATCATGTATGAAATTAAATTTACATTGTCTTACTCATAATATTTTCCAAAAATAAGTTAAAACAATTATATAAAATACTACCTTTAGAATTGAAATGGAAATACAATAAGAAAATTTTAAACAACTATAATTACCCACTTTATTTTCCTTTTCCAATATTTATCTTGTATTGAGAACCTTTAACTATTCACAATAACATAATAATTTAATTAATATTAAATTCCAAATTTGAATGTCTAAAAAAACATTTGATTTCTTCCATATAAAATTACCTCACAACAGATTTCCCTTCCTTGCAAATTTTCTTCTTTCACTGTCCGATTTAAACTTGTAATTCAATTCTTCCTACACGATTAGAAGAATTATAATATTTTCTTTCTCTTAGTTTGAACAGAAAGAAAAAGAATAAGAAAAAAATTTCACTTACGCTTTCTTGTATGTAACTTACCAAATCCAAATGCTCATGCTTTCTCCATCAGATTTTCTTCCCTTAACCTTTACAGAAGATATTCTCCACCACTTAGATAAAAATTCTACAAAATAACTTCATAGAAATAAAAAAATCTCAAATCAAAACCTTCTTCTTCTTTGCCGCCTCTCACGAAAGAACACCACTCGTTTGTGTTTTCCTTATCCACGAATGAAAGAAATGAATATTTCTCATGTTAGTTATTTCCTTCCCACGTACACGATCGTTCGCTCAAAACAGTGAATCGAGCCTTCTGGGTCGCATACGCATGCAAGCCGATCGCAGTCAGTCAAACTCTGCTTCGCCTAGATGCCGCGGTTTTTATTAGAAGCTGGTCGTCCGATTCAATTGAACTAGCCCAGCTAAACCGGCCTTTACACCTTGCTAAACTTTACTCCATCCCTCATTAGACCGCATTATTGTCATCCAAAAGCATACATTATAGGTGACTACGACAATTACTACGAGATGGATAATTCATTCTTTCATCTATCTTGTCAAATCGTGCAACATCTTGGAGAGAGATGATGGTTATACTCGCTACTTCGAGTAGAAATTGTACAGTATTGATCACCATTTCGAAGAACCACAACAAATGTATCAAAATCCCTATGAAGATATCATTTGAAAGGTAAAGGCGCTCCAACTTTCAATGGTCAACAATTGAAAGTTTTTCTTTGATTGGTTTATTAAGTTTAATAGATTTTAAAATCTCTTAAGTAAAAGAAGCTAAACGTTTAAACATTGAGGCACATTTTGGTAAAATGGTTGGAATTTCATTTAAGAAACTCTGCCGTTAAGTGTGCTCATCCCAAAGAAATCCTAGGATAGATGACCTCCTGGGAAGTTACACCAACAGAACAAAACAGTGAGGCCCTTAGGCCAAAGCAGAAAATATCTCGATAGTTAAGAATTTGGGCTGTTATAAATGATATTAGAGCAATACACCAACCGGAAGATGGGAACTAAGTGTCATAAAAGACAAAGTATTACGCCATGGGAGCCACCTATTAAACCTTATGTGGAACAAAATGTTACGTGGTGGGAGTCACAACTTGAACTTATAGGGGTCACCTTTAGAATCATATCTGTCAGGTGGATGATTCTAGGTAAAGATGCTAATGAGGATGTCAGTTATTTAAGTGAGAGAGATTGTGAAACTCCTTAAATAAAAGAAGCTAAACTTTTAAATAGT